CTCTCACCACCTTGTGGCTCTTCCCTGGACTGGCTCCCGCTTAGGTTGTGCTTGTGTTGGGGACCCCAGAGCTGGATGCAGAACTTCAGGTGGGGTCTCACCAGAGCAGAGCAGAGGGGCAGGATCCCCTCCCTCACCCTGCTGGCCGTGCTGGTTTTGATGCAGCCCAGGTCAAGGTTGGCTCTCTGGGCTACAAGTGCACATTTCTGGGTCTTGCTGAGCTTCTCCTCCACCAACACCCCCCAGTCCTTCTCCTCAGGGCTGTTCTCAATCCATTCTCTGCCCAGTCTGTATCTGTTGGCATTGCTCTGACCCAGGTGCTGGACCTTGCACTTGGCCTTGTTGAACTTGATGAGTTTCACACAGTCCCAGCTCTGAAGCCTGCCCAGCTCCCTCTGGATGCCATCCCTTCCCTCCGTGTGCCGACTGCCCTGCACGGCTCTGTGTCATTGGCAAACTCGCTGGGGTGCACTCGATCCCACTGTCCATGTCACCCACAAAGACATTCAACAGTGTTTATCACTTTCATATGGTAGTCTTCTCTCTCTCAAACAATGTTTAAAAGAAGTCCATGACTTATCACATACAAGTAGTGGTGGTTCACAGGGTAAGTACGTAAAATAGCTCAATCCCAAGGAAAAGATTTTTCCAAATTAATTTTAAAACAAGATCTACAGTATAGCTATTGTTTTACTGTAGTGTCTTCTGGAAACTGGTTTGACCAGTAGGCTTCTCTTTATTATAAGGCATGAAAGAAAGCATCATAACTATTCAGATTCTTGCAGTACAATGTCCCTTTGGACTATGACAGACTACTGCTCATGTTTTTCTTCTTGCAGCATTTTAGTCACACACATTGACTAACATTCACACCAAGACAAGATCTCCTGTTACTGTTCCAACTGGGTATCCCATTTCCCTCTTGCTCCTCTTTTTTGCCTGGAGTGCTGGCTGTAATGCTGTAATTCTGATGGATCCTGGAACTCAAGCCAGCTAGCTGATCAATAAAGGTGTGGAAGACTTCCAGGTTTGCAAAGAGTAGAGTTTAACACTGAATGGATTACATCCATTGATTCACATAATTATCACAATTAAAATTTGAGGTATTTTTAATCAGGGGAGGATGCTGACTGGTTAGAATAAATTAAGATGCCTGGCAATAACACTCCTAAGCCAGAGTATCCACAAATGGATTACTTTTTGTAACTTCATCTGTACCCAAGCTCCTCAGTGAAAGAAGACAACAATTATAATAAAAATAACAAGGTAGTTGATGCTTAACAGAGTGAAAATAAACTTGTTTCTTCAGAAAGTACATAGAATGTCTTAAAAGCACCAGTCAAAATACTGATCTATGCAAGCAGAAGTCAAAATACTGATGCATATAAAAAAAAAATTACGGATTTCTAAAGGCAGTATTTGCTACTCATTATTAGCATAGCATACCCTTCCCTTCTATATAGATAAAAATTGCTGTAGGGGTTTAAAAATAACAAAATCTATTAACTTGTACAAAAACTGCTTGTCCATCATGGGTTAAGGGATTCCTGGCCTATCAGCAATCTTTTACAGAACTCTTAATATTAAAAAACTTTTGCTGCTTACACCGCAAGGGAGAAAGAGCTGACAAAAGCCTTTGGCCAGAGAGATCAAAATTGGGGATGGGGGGAGAAAGGGGAGCTTAGCTTATTTACATTTTTGCTTTGTTAGTAAACTGAAATTGTTAGAGCAGGAAGAAAAAGGAAAAAAAAAAGAGAAAGGTGAAATTAACAGCCACTAAATCTTCTGGCAACAGCAGTGCATTTTGATATGTGCTGCGTCAGCTTCCACTAATGGTTTAGGGTTGAATCAGGCACAGTTCAAGACCCAAAGCAGTGCAGGGCATCACATCTCATTCTTTGGAAGAATATGTACCCTAATTATAAAGATGGCTACAAAATAAAGGGATCAGGATTTCTGGCAAAACAGAATAATGATCTACTTAATAGGAAATCATAATGTCATTTTGAATCAGTAGAAATCATAGAAAAGTAGGATTTCAGCCCTGTAATGAACATATATCTGAACAAGAAGTCTTCTGATTTTGAAACAAAACTACCTTTCTGAACAAAATCCATCCAAGTTGCTTTTTCTGCTCTTAGGAGTTAATCTCCCTGGTCTATTTTGGTAATGTGAATGGAAACAAAGGCTGTATATGCATGTGCCACTTACCACACAAAATATCCATCCAGTATTTCAGAGAGCACAGGAAGGAAATGCCCACTGAGCTAGGGACGTGCCAATGTCAGTGCTGCCTGTGCCAGACCGTTCCTGTGAAATTTGTGGCGTGCAGCAGAAAGCAATGTGGGGTGGCAGGCTTGTGGAGGGGTGGGGGAGACAGCTTAAACAGGCAGTGGAAGAGAATCAGCCATTTGGGCGGTTTAATAGGGGGCTGTTTGTTTGTCTTCCCTTTTGATGTTAAATTAGTTTTCAATTTTGTTGCAAGGAAGGAGCCATTGGGAAAAGGATGCTTCTCTTCCAGTAAACCCTGGGAAAGCAACACCTTTATTTTAACGGTCTTCCCACCAAGAACCCCCTGCAACATTTTGGCTTTCCCTAGCCATAGCTATCAGCAACACAACAGCTGCTCATTTTACAATGACTTGCTGGAGAGAGAATGATTGAAAGAGCCAATCTATGTCACATTGAGAAACTGTGGCACAACATCGCAGGAGGTAATAGGAGAGGAATGAGGTCAGAACAAACAAGGGTAGGGTGAGAACGGAGAAGAAAATAGCAGAGAACAAAATTATTAAAGGCAAGGTGCTGTACTACACAATCAATGTTTAAAAACGTCTACAACCTGACTGCTGCAAACAGCCACAGAAATGCAAACAAGCTCTGTGTTACTTTTTCTGAGGGTCTCATGAATACAGCTGATGATAAAAGCTACCAAAGTCCTTGTAATGAAAACAATGGTGTGAACGCACTTAGGTGAAAGCACAGTCTAATTCACATGGCTTGAAAGCCCTAGCAGCCAGCAGCACCCCTCTATCAAAGGGCTTTAAATAGCAGCCTTGCTCCTGTTTTTTGTAGCTCGAGAAACAGCAGCAGCAGCAGCAGCAGCAGCAGCAGTAGCAGCAGTGATGCTGCTGCAGCAGCCCAGCCGCCCTCCGGAGAGCACTGCCTTAGCTCACGTCTGGGAGTTCACCTTTAGCAAGAGCTGCAAACACCAGAAGCTTGTCTATGACAGCGAAACAGTGGAGGGTGATTTTGATTTAGCACCATTCATAAAAATCCTTCCCGAGAAAGAATTGCTTTTGTGTTACTGCAGCAGACCAGAAAACCACCGTGCAAAATGGTGGCACAGTTTGTATGTAGAGACAATGCTTTTCACTAGGTGAGTTATAAAAATGAGCTTTTGGGGCTCATCTGATGCAATGACGTGACTCTGACCCTGACCTCTGAGTCCATATCCCTTCTATTTTTACCCCATGGGGATCAGGTGGGTTCATAAAAGTTATTACTCTCCCCCTACACACTTATGCTCATCTTTACATATCATGGCTCCAATAAAGCTATTTTCAGTGTTGCAACATTTTTTCCCTATTCAGCAATCAGGCTGCTAAAATGCCAATCCATTTACTCGCCTGAATCTGACTGTGGCAAAATGTTACCTTTCCAGCCAGGTAGACTATCTGGCTTCATTCAACAACAGAGATGGATTTCTACACCAAATACTGGGAACCACCTTGGAAATACAAAGCTACCACACTGCATACAATGCAAATACTCTGTCCCCACTATTCCTGCTCCACCTGAGCATGTGCTGCCAGTCAGAGAGGCTGGAGAGGGGAGAAATAACTGCAGGGCATGCACACAGCATCAGGGCTCAACATGCTCAGGCCACATTTATTACTGAACATTCCTGTGTGCACTGAGCTTACTTCCCTCTGCTTATCTGAGTTTAACCTCTGCAGACAAACAGGCATGAACATTTTACACAGATACCTTTGTATCAAATACTGAAACACATGCTACCTTCTGAATTTTAACCAGAATTTGGTTTACAGCAACACTCAAATCACCTAACAAAAAGGCACCTCTGCTTTTGTTTCTTTTAACTGAGCTCTATGTTTATTATTTTGTGGTTCTGTCAGCAACTGATGTTATCCCTAGGGTAATGTCAGCACTCTTCTACTCTCAGGAATTCCCCTAGTATTCAAAATGTCAGAAGATAGTAAAAAAACTCGAGCATCAGAAAGAGAACAAACTCACCTGAAATACTAAATACAAATTGCTGCCTGACCCCCTGGAGTAAGTAACATGCCAGATGGATAGGGATAAGGTAAGAACTGAAATTAATGTATGCCATTTTTTTCTTCTGAGTATCTTAACAGATTTCCACAAATTTCTGAATATACATGACTGTGTGTCATACTCTAACTTGCGTAAGACAGAGAGAGGCAAGCCTGCCACTGATATTCCAATTACTACTGGTGGGGCTGAATCCCTAGTAACTTGTGAATCTTTGCAAACATTAAGAAATATCTCATACAATATTCTGTATTTATGTCCAAAATTACACTGCCACAATACAGAGCTGGAAAATCTCTGCCTCATCCTGCGGGCCTGTAACCACCATTCAAGCTCAAGAGCCAAACCCATCAAAAATACACAGTTAGAACAAAAACAGGACTGTAAATAACCGAGAGAAGCATGTGGCAAATGACACAAAAACCAAATACAAAACCTACAATTAAGTATTTGCATTGGTTGGTGATAAAGACATGTATCAAACACCTACGTGGAGTCAAGTTCAAAATTTTGAGCACTCTGAGGGCTTGGCACCTGAAGTTTAGATTGCATTTCCTCCTGCTCTAAGTATGCATTTTTTCAGAAAAAGGCCCTGAAAATGCAAGATTCTCAGAAAATAAATTAATTCTGAATACAGGAGTATTTATTTATGTATTTAATAAACCTACCAATTGGTTTAATTTTGTTTGTTAGAAGAAATTTACCTGGAATACTCGCTGGAGAAATGGGACCAGATCTTGATTGGTTGCTTCCAACGGGTGAGCCTACAGGGGAAGGCGATGGGCCCCCAGGGATGCCAGAGAGATGTGGAGAAGCATGAGGGGAAAACGGAGACTGTGCAGGGTTGCTCTGCTCCCCTTGGCTGCTCGTAGAGCCTGATGCGCTCACAGCTGAGCTGAGGGTTGCTTCAGTTCCAGTCGGCAAGTCGTCAATGGATCCAGATAAATCCTGAGGAAAAAGGAAAAATGAACATAAGTGCTTGCATGAATACTCAGGTCACAGGACTCAAGAGCTGGCATGGCAATAGATCTATTTGTTTACTTATTGCAGCAGATAACTGAGAGGTTGTCTTTAACATGTAGTTAAATGATGGCAGAAAACAAGGACAGTAGGCACAGTTCCCCGCTTAATCTCTAATTCTTTTGAGAAAAAGAACAAGCAAGGGCATCAAATGAATTGGAACCGAACTCATTCAGCATTGAATTTAACCTTTTCCATCTGGATTAAGCTTTCAAAATTAATCCCACAAATTCTGCCTGAGCATACCAAAACTAATGAAAATGATACATCAGTTTCACTTTTACACAGTATTTAATTTTGGGTTTTGCTACCATTACAATCACAGCTTATACACTTCCCTCTAAACCATTACCACAATGAGACAAGAGTGTAAAATAGGCAGCCCTGTAACACTCCCTTGCAGCAAGCAGATGAGAAGAGGCCCTGCCCTCAGCAGCAGCACGGGATCTGCTGGCCACCAAGGAGGAAGGACTGCTGCTTCTCCACTTCCATCAAATAGCAGTGTACAGCTCACAGGTTCTCTTCAATTTCATCTGAATACACTGCTAAACAGTTACTCCATTTCTGCTGCATTTTCAATGAGAAATTTCCTCTGTAGGTCACAGCACATCTGAATTCTAACTATGAACTGCTGGACATATTCCCTCAAGCTGTAACACAGGAGTTATACTGTTCTTTGAATCTGTGGGAGCAATTAGGCGTTTTAAATAATTTTAAGATCAGATATGAAAAACCAAGAATGCTGTGACAAAGCAAGCACACGCTCCCCAGCTATCAGGAAAAATGCTAATTCCTAAGCATCACAGAAAAACCTCATACAAACCAAAAGGTGCCAATACTGCTGTGCTTCTGTAGCTATTGGCAGGTCATGAGGAGCATGGTACTATGTTACTATTTCTATTAGCAAATTAAAGCTCAAAAAAGTGGCACAGAGCTACCTCACATATAAATCAGGTCATTAAATGACCTCTGAGACTTGAAATAACTGGGATGACAGAGTGCATTACTTTGGCTGATCCTGACTTCATGCAAGTTGCTGCACCACAAGACAGCAGGACCCTTTGAATAGCACAAAAAGAACAGGGTTCTGCCTGAGCAAAGAGCTCAGGAAGCAAAGCCTCAGTGCTGCCTAATTTTCATAACTAAAAATGAAGTCTTTCAGAAGTCACAGAACAGGGACTAAACTCACGTTGTGTACTTAGTACCCTGCCCAATGATGAGTACCCCCATTACAAGGGAGGCTCACAGCCAGGTTCCCAGGTTCACAGAAGGACTTGGTCAGTCTTTCAAGGCACAGGAAGAGGAGGATTAAGCTCTGCTAACACTCACTAGAAGCCACGTAGAATGTTACACGTGTTCTTCCTCCTTGTGCATAAGGGCAGTGAATACAAACCACCTGACTTAGCTCTCTGCAGGGCATCTTGCAGATCTTATTTCCAATGAGTTCTCACAAATACTTCACGAACAACTCTCACCAGTTAAATTTTGCTCTTTCTGACAAGCATTAAATTGTACCCGTATTTCATTAGGCATATGAAAAGCAAAAATTAAGGCTAAAACTTCAATCTACATGTGGATGCTGCACTCACTCGAGTAGACTTCCAAATCCGTACAAATGGAAATTTAATTATGAAGTGGGCAATAAACTATTTTCATTGTTTCTTTTTTGGAACTATCAACTGTAGAAAATGTAAACAAGAAATAACACTGCTTGGTACTGCATAGAGCAAAACTAGGTATTTTTCATAGTAGAATGTATTTGGCAAACAGGTAAGCAATTACTGCTTTCCCATACATAATATGGTATTCTTCTAAATGAAATCAAATCGCTGCTGTCGTCATGTGTAACAAATGCTGCAGGAAGTGCTGATAAAACAAATGCTGCTGAAAAGCATATAATAAACCTCTGAAAACTGACTGTAGCAGAAGAGAGCCTATTCTATGGGAATATAAACTGTGTAAAAACTAGATAGGCACACAACTGACAGAAGATATAGCAAGTACATAGGTTTATGTCCAGAATAACAAAGATTTTAAAAGGGTGTGTGGAGTAAAGCTTTCATGTGTGTTGGCAAACCGAAGTACTTGAAAAAGAAATTTGCCAGGATAATGGAAAAGCCATGAAGAAATTAGCACTGTCCTTGATGAAATTATCTGCTGTTCACAGGCTAAGGCAAAACTTCAGGATGGGACTGAAGTTCACTTCTCCCGTTGGGTCACATTGACTTCTCCAGCCTTCCACAAGAGCAGAACAACTGCTGAGTCTCAGGCATTTTCTCGAGTGCCTGCTTTCCAGGAATTTCTTCACCCCCCTGATGAAACCCCTTCATCAGGAGGTGGGAAAGGAAGAGAAGAGCTTGCATGACACCAGCCAATTTAAACAGTGAGGCCATGCCACCCTCCTGCAGTGCAGGCGGAGGGAGCAGCGGGGCAGGCACAGCACACCCGCAGAGCCTTGTGCTCCCCACGTGTGCTCAGCGTAACCACTGGGATTTTCTCCTGGGAATGGGGAACTTCACAGTCAGTGTATCTGCTGAGGATGCAATAATAGTGTCCACTCACTAGACACACGAAGAAAACTGAGAAAGAAGTTGATCTCAGGATGGCACATAGAATTGTTATCTATCTAGAAGTCTGGGCTGTGCCACACAATCTCCTACATCGTCTTCAAGTGGGCTAAGGGTGGTTTGGGTTTTTAAATTTTTTTTTTGGGGGGGAGATGTTTTTTATTTTGTTTTTTTTTTTTCTTTTTTGTTAACATATACTTCAAGGCCTTACCTAGTCTTCTAAGGTGGAAAGCCTGAGAAGGCAAACAACTGGGAAACCTGCAGCACGCACAGGCTTTAGAAACACCTCTCTAACTAAAAAAGCTAATTTGGAAATTAAAGAGAAGGAGAAGAAAGACTTTATGTGAAGCACATGGACAGAAAGAGCAGAAGTCGACTTTCTGTTCTCCTATTATCAGCATTTTATTGCTTGCTTTTACCTCATTTTAACAGAACAGTAGTGAAGTTGTGCAAATTCCACATCACAAACATTTATTTATATATAAAACAGTATACACATACACATTATATACGTAAATTACATGGATACACTTGCATTTACTTAGTGCATCTACATGTAAAGCTATTAGGAAGCCTGCTAATAGGAGAAATTCACAGAGGTTTAAGCATACAGCCTTGTTAACAAAGAAGCTCTGTAACTAATACTCCTCTAGAGGACAATTTAGTCAGCAGGGCACCAACTCTATTCTTCTTTTATAAGTAGTATCAGATCTATGATGCCTGTAAAGAACAGAGAGACCTTACTTACTGCATCTCATTCAAACCAAGGCACCTTCAAGCTACAGTGCTTCCATTTATCTTGTTGGAAAGTTGGCAGGTTAGGTAATTGCTGGGATTCTTTTAAGGGCCTGAAGTCCCCATACCCTAAGGCATGCCTTAAATTTTGCCTCTTTTCAGAGGCTTTTTCTGGAAAGCACTCATTTCTTCCAGTAAAATCTAGCAAGTTTAGAATTACTAGTCGGCTTGTGTTTCTTACAGATCTGTTTCTTGTAGAGTAATCGTATTATTCCTATCTATGGTATTGTTATGACTATATTTTCAAATCTGACATAAAATCTGAGAAAAAATGAAGGACAAAATATTTCCTCCCTCCCATCACAAATCTGTATTACAATTCTGTATTCTCTATGTCAGCTTTATATCCTGTATTATTCAGGACATCCTACCCAGCTTTCAAAGTTCATTTCTACATAATACCTTGATTACAAACTGAAATGTTCCCATGCAGGATTCATCTCTTTTAGCAAAGTGTTCTATTTTCAACTATCTTAGTTCTAGCCTCACCTTCTCACCTATACACGACCCTTTTTCTTGTCTGTCTGACAAGAACAAGAGCTGAAATGAACAGGTTCATATTGTGCTTGGGATTATAATGTTATGCCTTCCTGGTGGCATGATCTTATCAGAGAGAGACATTTGAAACAGCACCATTTTACTACTGCAACGTGGACAGTGAGGAGTAGAAGGAAACAAATTGTTTACTCAGAGCCAGGAAACCCAAAGCTACAAAGAGACCACAGCAAGAAAACACCTACAAACACCTACAAACACCCATATATAATACAATAACATTAACTTACACACCTAGATCCAATAAACAGCAAAAGGAAGACTACAGTAGCTCAGCAATACCACCACAATTTTACATATCAAGTGTGACAGGATTACAACATTCACCGTGGAGCAAAAATTTACACTGCAAATACTTTGTGCAGTTGCAAGCTTTGCTTAGCAATGTCTCAGCAGACACAAACCAAGATTTTAAGGGAATCCCTTGCTAAATACTTATAGTTGAAAAAGGATGAGCACCTCTGAAATCAGTAGAAGGAGAAAATATGGGACATCTTGCTAATGGAGCTCCTACGCCACTAAATCACAGGTTAAGTTCTCTAAGAAGTTACTGCACTTTGGGGCTCTCTTGCAGGAATTATGCAGAGCACATACAACCTGTGGTTTATTTAAATTTTCCAGCTATTGCCTATCAGTTCTTTTATGTTCAGGGAGTAGAATAATAGCAGAGGTATTCTGTAGATATTAAAATTACAGACACAAAAACCTTTCTGTCTCCCAGAAGCTGAGCCTCCCAGACTCTACCCTACCATCCATTGTACTGGGATGAATCCCAGAGCTACACGTAGGGAACTGTGTCAGCTGACTGGCTGCAGGATCAAAGCCTGCTCATTCCATTCAGACCTTCCTGCAGTATTTCCTTAGGACAGCACTGCTCAAAAGACAGGATCCTGCATGAAATATCCATCTCTTTAACATGAATCACCACTTTAGAAACAAAATTATATATACAAGCAAACATATTTCACATATAAGTATGTAAATATATATTCAAACAGACATACACTCTGC